TACCCACCTATAATGGGCTTAGACTGGGGGTTCCTTGAAAGGGTTCGCTAAAGGGTTTTATAAGGGGCTACTATAAGGGTTTAGGGAAAAGGGGTTGGGGTATATATATATATACAATTGTACTAGAATCCCAAAAAGGAACCCCCCTCCAAAGTAGATAGGTAACTGTTTAAGGCCCCTGTGTTGCAAAAGGCCAAACCAAACAGCTCAGGATTCAGGGTCCTGCCGTCCACAGCGATAACGCCGGGGCATTCACGAGGCCATGATCCGATTGCTTCGGGGCCACTTCCCGCCGACGGTTTAGGGTTTAGGGGAACTTCCCGCATGTCACATGTCACCTTGCGAAGAGATTTACTTGCCGCATCCTTGAATCAACGCTGATGTCAATTCTGTCAGAAATGCTGGTATGGCCATGATGCTCAATATTGGAATTCAGAGTTGTCCCCGAAGCCCACTTCAAGTCTTTTTCAGCATAATGGCAAGACCCTCAACCCTAAACCCTATACGCCCCCAAACCAAAACACTCAACCCTGAAGCCCACGACCCTAAACCCTGAGCTCTTCGACCCGAAACACTACAAACAACGCGGCAGGGCCCGAAGAGCCACAGGTGGTACCCACAGCCGCTTCCCATCGTCGAAGAGTGCCATAGACTCCATGGAAGGCTGGAAGCCTATTGAGTCTTTAGGGTTCCTTTAAAGAGCTCTATAAGGTTTTGGGGTTTAGGGGTTTAAGGTTTATAGGGTAATTTGGGAATTAGGACTTTACCTCTTCTTTAAGGAATATACCATAAATCATGATCTTAAGCCCGCCAAACAACTACGAAGTTACGGGGATAAGCGATTTGGCGCTCTGCAAAAAAAAACGTGAGTGCAGACACCGAACTGCGCAGGGAATAACCCCGCAGTGTACCCACCCTCCGGCCTATGTGTCCGGCGAACTGCGGATTGCAAAGCGGCACTTTGCGCGGCTTCATGTTCGGGACGAGCGCGGCGTAGGAAAGTGCGGCATTGGAGCAAAAGATCTGCGACCGGTAGGCGTGGCGCCCCCACTCCTTTGTTACTGTGGCAAAACCCGAAGCCCTACAAAGCCTTTAAGCAAGGATGTCGGCAGGAGCTGTTGCTCTTCTTTCGCCCAGGATGATTTAAACATGATATTTGTAAGCGTTAGTGCTATCATTGTTATATACTGTTACCTTCAATGCTTTAATGCTTATATGTCCAAGTGAGGAAAGGGGAGTCGTCGTCGTATTAGAAGTAGGCAGTCGTAAGCAACGGGGACAGCAAAAGCAGCAGCGTTCATAGTTCATATCAGTCCTGTAGCAAATACCACGACTATTGCTAATCAAAGTTTAGCAGACAGAGGGTTTTTTTACAGGTATTCCTCGCATGATTACCAGTATTATTACGACCAAGATCTATGTCTTGATTGATCGGTCTTCGTCTGTATTTGCTTGGGAGTTCGAACTCGTAGGTGCTCTTCTGGCAGGGTTCCATAACCGTGAACCAGCGTTTCAAGTTCTCTGGTAAGGCCCCAAATGCAGGCCAGCTGCAGACAGTGCGAAGAAACGGATAACCGGGTGCTGCTCGCATGCGAAGCGAGCTTCCACGATGCCCAGCCTGCGACAGCTTCTTACAAAACGACGCGACCGTCGAGTAAGACAAACAAGTCCGGCGCAGCAGGACCGTTGGAGCAAACTTTTTTGCATAAGAATCGCCAAACCCCGCTGGAACTAAAGACCCCAAAGCTGCATGTGAATTGGCTTCGCGAGGTACAGCATCGGATTTGTTTACCAGTGCAAACTACAGTGGAGGCTCGCAGCACGGGAAACCATAACGGCAGTGGTTTAGGGTTCAGGGGTTTCGGGTCAGGGGTGCCTTGATGTGCTTCACTTCTCAAGATTCCTAAAAGTGCCGACAGCTTTCAGGCTTAAGCCGCTATGCCTCTCTTCGGACTGGATCGCCACAAGCTCTTTCGCCTCATGTTGGGAAAGGCTTGGAGCTCAGTGGTTTCGCTGCCAAACCTCGATTTGCTGCCACAAGTCGGAATAACCTTTCTGCTTCGTGGTGGCAGTGGAACTCAAGGTACTAGTGGTGGTAATGCTACAAATTGCTGTTGTTGATAACATCAATACTATTATTTTTACTATTAACATTAAAAGCATCATTATCACAACTATTGTTAGTAATAGTCGTAGTAGTAGTAGTAGTAGTAGTAGTAGTAGTAGTAGTATTAGTAGTAGTAGTAGTAGTAGTAGTAGTAGTAGTAATTAGTTATTGTAGTAGTAGTAGTAGTAGTAGTAGTCGTCGTCGTGGTTGTGGTGGTGGTGGAGGTGGTGGTAGTAGTAGTAGAAGGAGTAGGAGTAGGAGTAGGAGTAGGAGTAGGAGTTGGAGTAGGAGTACGAGTAGGAGTAGGAGTAGGAGTAGGAGTACGAGTACGAGTAGCAGTAGCAGCAGCAGCAGCAGCAGCAGCAGTAGCAGTAGCAGCAGTAGTAGTAGTAGCAGTAGTAGCAGTAGCAGTAGTAGCAGTAGTAGCAGTAGCAGTAGTAGTTAGCAGTAGCAGTAGCAGTAGCAGTAGCAGTAGCAGTAGCAGTAGCAGGAGCGGTAGCGGTAGCGGTAGCGGTAGCGGTAGCGGTAGCGGTAGCGGTAGCAGTAGCAGCAGCAGTAGCAGTAGCAGTAGCAGTAGCAGTAGCAGTAGCAGTACCAGTAGTAGTAGTAGTAGTAGTAGTAGTAGTAGCAGCAGGAGTAGTAGTAGTAGCAGCAGCAGT